CAATTTTGTCAGCATCAAAGAATCAGTTTCAATTTGGTCTCCTTTTCCTCCATTGGCGGAAAAGAATCAGTTTCACATAAGATTCAATTTTGATTTCTATTTTGTCTGCAAGGATCCATCCTTCTCCCTCTAGCGTCATGAGCAAAGCTTTAGTGAATGAGCTCCGGGAGGCAATTTAGATCCAAGTTCCAAGTGGATAGGGGTAATTTGAGAAAGTTAATACATTTTTTATTTTAAATTAAAATTTGTGCCAAGTCAAAATAAGAAGAATCAACTTGGACGAAGGGAGTAACATTTAAAAATATTAATGTCGATGCAGCTAAGAGAGTCATTCTTTACATTGTTATAGCCTTGGATAAATAATGGACTAAATCCATATGACACATTAAACTTCCCTTGCTGCTTACTTCTATGCATTTTTGCCAATAAATATGCATCAAGGGTCCAACCGAAAAAGTATATATCCTTTTTACAAAATTAAGGTTGTGTAGATCTTGACCTCCAAGACCCTTGCGGAGCTGGGATTATACAAGGTCTGTTGTTATAGTTTATAATTATTAATAACAATTACAGAGTAAGTATTAGTACTATTATTAACCACAATGCCAAAAAACTAAAGAATAGTGTCTCTAGATCATGGAAAAAATATGTAATGGCAATGTGGTTTCCTGGATTCTTAATTTCACCTAGACATAGTCCACATATATTTTTCCAAGATTGAAAAATGGGGAAAATATAACCAACGTGCAATGGAATGTAAGATAATCTGAAAGCATTGGTGGTATCAATTCCACCAAAGTCTAACCAAATATGAAATATTACGTGCAATAAAGTTAGGTTACCTTGGAATGTCAAATAGATGGACCATAGACATGCCATAAAACACTCCAATGCAACATTATTACATTGTCAGAGTACTGTAATATAAAGTGAACGGAGCACCCTCTTAATGTTACATAGGAATAGAATACTTTCATTTGCTTATATTTAGAGTTTAAATCCCTAAAAGAAGTTTGGTTGAGACACAGAGTATACTTTCTCCCTTCTTATATGCCACTCTAATATGATATCCTTGTACTAACAAAATACGACTCTTTTCCAGTCCATATCTATTCAATAGGCGAAAACAAGATAATAAAAATGGTCATTAGAAATCATTTCCAAATGAAAGTAACACACTTTTTCTTGGGTGCAGAACTATAAACCCAAAAATCAGTACATCTACAGCTATAAACCAAGAAATTGTGAGACGTTGCAGAAGAGCTTAGGGCCTATTGGTATAGGAGAATAATAACCATTCTCCACAACTCTGATTTCCCTACTTCTCTTATTCTTTCTCATTCTCCAAACTATTCGAAAATATAGTTGGAGATTTGATGAAAGAAACAAAGGCAGAACATGTCCATTTAATAGACAGGCACATCAAAGATCCTTTTATCATGGGGAAACAATTTGAACTGAAGTCAATTTTCCATTCTCTGGTTTCTACCTTTTCGGGAAATTATGAAATTCTAAGAATTGTTAGCAGCATAACTAAATTTAGTAGATGTGATAAATCCATTTGGAATGAATGTTAAAAAACATCAACTGCTGAGTGTAAAGGCAGCTCCTTAAGAGGCCAAAACATCAAACAGCAAATTCATTAGGTCCTTACACGAAGAAAGCAATTACATATAAACCAAAAGATTGCAGGGGGAGCCAAGAAACCAAAAAGATAGATCCTTACAGAGATAAGCAACGCGGGGGTTGCTGGGCTCAACTTCATTGGCAACACGAAGAATGGGGGCAATCTCGACCAGCGACGATGGGACCACCTCACTATCAAACATAGACTCTCCAATGTTTCCCACCGTCTGGGTCCTCGTTATCCGTCGCTGCAGCGACGGTTCAGCACCTCCTCTGGAAGCCATTTCTTAGCTTCGCCTCACTATGTCTTCAACTACAATTCACAAAGCCACAAAAGGTTTCTAAAACAGAAAACCAAATAATACTCCACAACTCCACAACCACATACTCCAGCCTACAAAGGAGCGCAGCAATTACCGAAAATCTTTAAACAACTTAAATCAAAAATAGGGACATAGAGGCGCGCTTACATGAAGCAGGAAGTGAACGCGAACTTCATCAATGTCAGGTGATATTTGAATTTCACATTGAAGACAGTGCAATTGAGATATCAGAAGTTGAAAGATTGTGCCAAAGAGTATAAACCCTAGGAGAGAGAAACAGAAAATTATATCAAATGTGCAGAGGAGAAAGGGGGTGCACCTTTTTAAGCTAACTTAGCAGGAAAGAAAGGAGAGTGAGAATTGGGAGGCTGTAAAGTGAGAGAGAACTTGGAAGAAACGGAAGTCCTCCGTATATGCAATTACCGCTATGTGGGGGCCACAACGACCCCCTTTTTTCAATTTTCAAAATGCTGTTACAATAATGCCCTTTGTGCGGGTTTATTTTGGAAGATTTTCTCCAATCTGTTCAAACTTTTTTATTTTGTCCTTTTTTTCGTTGATTTCTCAATTTTCCACATTTAAACGAAAAGATAAAGCTCCCCTCCTCTTCCATTATACGGAATAGTTTTTGACTTAGTCTCTGTTCCGTTCAACTTATTTTTTCTGATCTGATCTGATTCTAATAAGTTCTGATCTGATCTGATCTAATCTGATCTGATTGGATCTGATCTGATCTGATTGGATCTGATCTGATTGGATCTGATCTGATCTGATTGGATCTGATTGGATCTGATCTGATCTGATTGGATCTGATCTGATCTGGTCTGATCTGATTAATTATGATTTAATTTAAAATTTCAAATCAATAATTTAATTTGACTTTATAATAACGTTTGAAAATTGTAATGATAATTCATATTATAATATAATCAATATTTTTTATTTAATGATTCCTTTTTAATAAAATAAAAATAGTTAATTCATATATTAGAATAATCATTCATATTATAATGTAAT